TTTGCAACCTTCCCTCAGTCGCTGTAAATCAGGTTCTACTGGGCCACAATGCTTGGATTGTTTCTTACAGTTACAGATGACTGCAGCCTTCTAACCAGTTTCAGTATTTGGTAGCCTGGAGAGGGTTTTTTGCAAAGGCACCCCATCTGCTTGCAGACTGAAGACCCATTGCTAAGGGCCTCTCAAGGGAGTCACCTCCTCCTGCCACACAACACGGTCCCCATCTCGGGTCCTTTTCACCCTCCTGAGTCTCAAGGAAAGCAGAGTGTGACAAGCAAACATGCTGCTGCTGGCAGCACTAGTGGCCTCAGCCGCTTGGTCTTGTAAGTACTTCCTTATTTTCCTACCTTTCCTCACAGGCAGCCATGGCTGTGCTTACAGGCATCTTCCCAAATCCCTGAATACTGCCTTGTGACATCACTTCTTCTTTTCCCTTTCCTAGACGGATTTGCACAGGAAATTCCCATGCAGAGGCCTATATCCATCACCAAATTCCAAAAAGATGTACAGATGACATGTGAAATTAAAACATTAGGAGCAAATTTTGGTGGCAACGTCATACACTGGTACCTGCAGAAGGAGGGTGAAGCTCCACAAAGGCTCCTGTATTATTTCGAAGGAAAAGCTACCGTCGAAAGAGGATTTCAATCAAGCAGATACATGGTTCAAACAATTCCTGACCAGAACTGGTGTTTTCTTAGAATAAAAGACATAATTCCAGATGATGCTGCTACTTACTACTGCGCCTACTGGGATCCTCACTGTGCTAGAAACTCAGAGATATTCAAGGCAAAAAACCCACACTCAACACCTGAACCACAAGGTTGTAACTGTGCCATTCTCACTCCATCTGATCTGAGCTGTTGAAAGGCAAATCCTATTTCTGCTATGGAAAAAGTGAAGCTAATCCTGCACAACTCTCCTTTTCAAACTCTGGGTTGTGGCTAGCACTCCTGTATTCAAAACACATCTGCTATATTAAGGGCAAAGAAAGTTCTCGCTGCCATAAGACATAGCACATAAAAACTGGACACTTGAGCTATGGCACTTCAGAAAGATCAGGCTAGGTGCAAATAAACACTAAACATCAGTAGCCTCAGGTCATGAAACTCTTAAATGCAAAGGAATGTTAAGCAGGCAAATGTTCACAGATTTCACAGAAACATAGAATGGTTTGGGTTGGAAGACCATCTAGTTCCAACCCCACTGCCATGGACTGGGACATTTTCTGCCAGTTCAGGTTGGTCTGGGCCCCATCCAGCCTGGCCTTGAACACTTCCAGGGAAGAGGCACTCACATCCATTGCCTCATCATCCTCACACTATAGAATTTCTTCTTAACATATATTCTAAAGGTCCCATCTTTTAGTTCAAAACCATTCCCCCTTGTCCTATCATTATCTGCCAATGTAAAGCCTCGGAAGTGAGGGGCCAAAAGCAGATGAAAGTACCTCAGGTGTGGCCTCACCAGTGCTGAAATGATCCTTTCCCTAGTCCTGTTGGCCATGCTAATCTTGACACAGGCCAAGACACCACTGGCCTTCTTGGACGCTTATATACACTGTTGACTCATACTAAGCAGGCTGTCAACCAGCATTCCCAAGTCCCTTTCTGATGAAACACACTCAATCCCCTCTTTCCTGAGGCTGTATCACTGCATCGGGTTGTTGTGTCCCAAGTGCAGGACCTGTCACTTCACCTTATTGAATCTCATGGACTTGTCCTCAGACCATTGATCAAGTCATTCCAGGTCTCTCTGTAGAGATTTTCTACCGTCAAAAAAAGGGACAATCCCACCCAACTTTGTGTCATCTGCAAATTTACTGAGGATGCACTCAATCGCCACATCCAGATCATCAATAAATATGTGAAATAGGAGTGGCCCCAATACTCAGCCATAGGGAACACCACTAGTGACTGGACACCAATTGGCTTTAGCTCCACGAACCACACCTCTCTGGGCCTGGCCATCCAGCTAGTTTTTAACCCATCAAAGAGTCCACCCATGCAAGCCACAAGCAGCCAGTCTTTTTAGAAGTATCCTGTGGGCGACAGTGTCAAATGCCTAGCTTAATTCCAGACAGACCACAACCATAGTCACCCTTCATCCTCTATGCTGGTCATTTTGTCATAGAAGATCAGTTTGGTCAAGCAGGACCTTCCTTTCATAAATCCATGTTGTCTGGACTTGATCCTCCGGTCACTGTGCTGTGTGCTGTGTGGTGGCACTCAGGATGATCTCCTCCATGACCTAGCCAGAAGGTTCTCATGCCCAGCTCTCTCAACCTGTTTTCATGGAAGAGGTACTCCTGCCCTCTGACCATGTTTGTGACTCTCTAGACATGCTCCAGCAAATTCGAATATTTCTTGTGCTAGGAACTCTAGACGTGGTCACAACACTCCAGGTGACATCTCACAAGGGCAGAGGAGAAGGGGAGAATCACTTCACTTGACCTGCTGTCCACCTCTCTTATTGCACACCCCAAGACGCCGTTAGCCTTCTGGGATGCAAGTGCACATTGCTGGGTCATGGGCAGCTGTTGGTCCTCCAGAAGCCACAAGTCCTTCTCCACAAGGATGCTGGCAAGGAGTACTTCTCTTAGTCTGCACTCATGTTGAGGATTACCCTAACCCAGTTAAGCGCCTTGCACATGGAGTTGTTGAACCTCATTTGATTCTCATGGGTTCCCTTCTCTAGTTTGTTCACATCCCTCTGGATGGCATATTTCACAGAATCTGCTGTTATCTTCATGGCTAGTCAATGGTGTGATGCACAGCTCTCATCCAGAAATTCGTATTTCCACATATTGTCTTTATTCATAGGATCTCATGGCAGCTTTCAGAAGTTTCCTCTTAGTTCAGGGAACACTTATTTGTTTTGGTTTCTGCTTTCTGTATGCAATGGCTAGCAGCATCCAGCACTGCACTTCCCTGCCTGCTTCCTTCCCTTCCACTGCTCCTCACAGAAGCTCAGGGGACATGTTGTTCCTCTAGCTTGGCACAGGGTCCCCAGCCAACACCCAAGGGAGTCCACTCCTCCTCACACATGGCATTGCTCACTCTGCTTCAGGGTCAGCTTCCTTCTCCTCTGAGTCTCAAAGACAGCAAAGCATGGCAAGCAAACATGCTGCTGCTGGCAGTGCTTGTGCTCACAGCTGCTGCTCTTGTAAGTCCTTCATTATTTTCCTACCTTTCCTCACAGGCACCCATGGCTGTGCAAACAGGCATCTTCCCCAATCCCTGAATTCTAGATCATGTCATCATTTTCCCTCTTTTTTTTCTTAGATGGATTTGCATAGGAAGGTCCCATGGATAGCCCTCTGACACAGTCACCATGATAGAAACTCAGAGACCACAGCCATGTCATCATTTTCCCTCTTTTTTTTCTTAGATGGATTTGCATAGGAAGGTCCCATGGATAGCCCTCTGACACAGTCACCATGATAGAAACTCAGAGACCACAGCGACAAATATTCCCATCTCAAGGAAAGGAGAAATAACGTGTTTGGCCCCAGTGCACTTCATTTGGTGTGGATGAGCCACCTGGCCTCAGACACAGGCTGTGGAGAAACAGGACATGCTTGGTGCTGACTGATGCCTTGGAAGCATCAGCTGCCAAAAGACAGAGATTTTGACCAAGGAAGGGCATAGTGCAAAGGAATCAGTGAAGGTCCAGTACATAACCCTTTAGCCTGAAGGCTCATAAAAATTTTAAGCAAAGCAGGGTTCTTTTTATTTACAAGTTAGTTGTTCTCAGAGGAGGGAGATTTTCTATTTCTCTCCTGAGGTCTGGAGCTGAGCATTTTTGTTCTCTTTCCCCAACTTCTTACTTATCCCTATCTGTGTTTCCCTGGTGTTGGATCTGCTGTTGGATCCCAAAGTTTGGAGATAGAGGTCACAAACCTAGTACCAAAGAAAAGTGTTTTTCATTGTTATGAACAAATTTCCATACCTATATTTCATACACAATGCATCCCTCCTAGTTACTGCCTCAAGGTGTAAGCTGACGCTAATACCTGAGAAATTCGTGCACAGAGCTTTTTCTCTGCCATCAAGCCTCTCCCTAATATTCTCCTTTTACTGTAGTACCCTGAAAGTCTCCTCACTGGGTTCATTGAAGTGTAATTCATTCAAGAATATTAGCTTGATGGGATGAAAATCTAACAGTTTTGTCCTCCTCATATTTGCAAGCCCAGATAATGCAGGGGAGTTGACAAGCTATCTGCAATATGCAGTGTTTCTTTTTGATTCTTCTAATGAGTCCCCACCAGCTACTCACTGCTGTGACCATAGTCAAACAGCCCCAGCAGCTGCAGATGAGGTGATCCCCTTCACTGTGTGTCTAAGGACATGGCAGGAAAAGCACCAGTTGGTACTGTTCTGTCTCTGCATTTGCCATTGCTTTGTGCTTGCAGTTAGGATGCTCCTGTCCAAGAGAGTCCGGAGGAGGGAACTGCTTTGTTTTACAGCTACTTCAGCTGAAAGGCCTTCACCATCTACTTCCTCCCTCTAGACACAACTAGCAATTTCTCAATGTAGTTTTGCAGTCAGTAAGTCACAAGAGAACCCAGAAGTGCTCTCAGTTTAGTTGAAATGACAAACTAAGCATGCAGACTGTTTGACTGGCAGTAGTGGTGACTCCTCTGATGTTATCTTGGGCTGTTTTGTAAGAAACCTCTGCACAAGGAGAAGCCTCCTCCTCCCACCAGCTTGTATATGAAAAGCTGCCAGTGAGATGCTGTTACAGACCCTGGAGTGATTCCAACAGATGGGCAGAAAATAACCACATACTGGGGTGAGAAAATGCAACCTGCAGCCCACAGACACCCTCATGATGCTTTTGGTGCTGACTTTCCCTCCTTTCTCTCTGCTGAACTGTATTCAGACAATGAAAAATGAACTCCATGCTACTAGTCCTTGATGTCACTTAATTGCAGGTGAGTAGGAGTGTACCTCTTTGGAAAGAGCAGGATTGTCACCTGAGGGTATGTCTTCTGACATGCACAACTCTATGCATTGTTTGGGTGCCTAAAATTGAAGAGAAACCTTAATCTAATTCTAAGGCATTAAGTGCAGGTGTTGTCTAACGAATTTGCAACACATCAGGAAAGAGATTTGCCCTGTAGGGCACTAGATATCAGCTGGACATCCAGGGGCAAGCCTGATGTTCTGACATCCTCCCAGCAGCCAAGGACCTTCCTGTAGACTCCTGGGGATGTTTGGGGAAAAAAAGTGGGAATTTCTTCATCAATGGCACAGCAAGAGAGCACGTGAGCTTATTGCAAAGACAAAGCACAGTGTGGAACACCTGGATCAAATACTTTGGAACCGGGACAAAGCTAATTGTCTCTAGTAAGTACCATTATCATTGAACTGATTTTCACAGACTCCTTCAGGTTCTCAGGTAATTAAGAATGAAAGACTGGAGGAAAATTAATTTCTGCCTCATTAATCATGTTTTGTTTGTGAACTGGGCATGGAGCCCCAGTTGAGTGGGCTGATAATCGTTTAATATATCAACTAGGTGAATACAGAGATTGCCTCTAGAACAATTGCTGATTATTTATGAAGGATGGGGGAATGGAAAAATGAGGAGGGGTAAAAATTTAAATATTGGGAGGGATTCATTCCTGTTCTGGGAGAGAAAATTGAATTGCTTGAAAGCTTACTCTCAGAACAGTAAGTGAGAAATGCAAAGCAGTTTCTTATTTGGTAGAAGTGATCCAGTCTAAATTGGTTGGGAGGGAAAATTGCCTGGAATGTAGTAAACTTCTAATTGCTGGCACTACTGAAACTTTACTTTTGTATTATCCTTAATTGAGGTGAAGCTGTGCAATCAATATTATGAATGCTGTTTTCAGTATAAAGCTTATAGCAATGCCTACAATATGTTGCTCAGAAAATAAATGACATTATCATGATGACTATAATGAAGACAAGTTGCAAACAGCTGAGGAGAGTTACAAAGAAATTTAAAATGTCGTCATTGCCTCTGACCAAACATTCTCTGAAATTTTTACTCACCTCAAAAACTGAAGCACTTCTAAAACTGGCACTCCACTCAGTATTGAAATTTCAGCTGTTGCGCTGTGTCACCAACCTCTAAGTTGGTGAAAATTTTTCTGTAGCCTGTGCAAGAAAAGTGCAGTGCAGCAGTTATTGCTATATCTGCAAAGTAGCAGACTGTGGGATGCTGGAGTCAAAATATTTGGAAGTGGAACTGAGGTTATTATTTCAGGTAAATACAATATGTAAAACTTAACCACTTCTGAAATGCTTTTCAACACAGTTAGATATTGGCTGCACAAAGTGCTCTGCTATTTTAACTCGCTAGTCTTAACCCCTTTGAATGCTTTGCAGGATTTCCCTTTTAAACAGCATTCGCATTTGTAGAACACAATGCAATTGGTTTGTATTTATGTATGAAATGAGGGAAACACAACAGATATTGCTCCTCAGATGTATAACTAAACCCATTATTATTTTCTTTAAAAAGATTAATTTAAGTATGGCAAAGAGGCATTTGCAGAACTGAAAGATGTTTTTGCCTCTACGTATGCACATGCAACATTTGTGATATTCCTAAAACATTCTGAAAAGAAAGTTGTCCGACCTTCGTGTTACTCATATTCTTCCACAAGCAAAACATTTTCCTTTAGGACTGTATCTGGCTATACCAAAGACAGAGTTATCTGAGATATGCCCACAGCAGTTTTAAGACAGGCAGAGTTGAAAGGCTTCTCTCTCTTCTGAGCTTTGCCAGAAGTTGCAGACCTATTACTACTATTATTAAGAAAGAATTCCAAATTCAAAGCATTTTGACATACTTATCAAAACTAGTTTCCTTCAAGTGAACTTCAGGTGCTGTGATACTTGCCTGTGATTTGGCCCAGCTAAGTATCTGAGATGAAAACCATTTGCTAATTTTGGCCAACTGAAGATATTGTATCTGCTTAGTGGGAGGTTTGATTCAAATCCAGGCAGGGGTTTGCTTCCAACAAAAACGTTGGTCGGTGGTCTCATTCTGCTCAGGTCTCTGCATAATATTCAGCACTTCTAGGTCTGATTTTACAGGGATGTACAAGAAGCAAATTCCTTCACCAATACCTGATTCAATAGATCCCCTGCTGGTTTTACCTCTTTCCAGAAAGCAGAAATGGAGCCAAGGTCCTCGATCTGCATTGTCCTTTTGGAAATTTCAGAAGACTAAAATTAGTTGACATGAATCCTGTCCATTTATCAACATACATGCCCTCAAAAAACTCCACACCTTTTTTTTTTACTTTCGTTTAGTTTAGGTGACTGCCCGTTTTAACTTTCCTAGGTCCTAAAAATTGATTATATACAAATCTGTTTTTCTTTGAAGAATACTGTTTACCCACGTAAATATAACTGAGCTGCAGTGATATTGTAAAGACTTTATTCACTGTGACTGATGATTACAAGGTGTTTGGCTCAGGTACCAAACTCATTGTATCAGGTAAGTTGCATGTTATATTCATACAATAAGCTATGGAGCTTGCCATTCCTACATTCAGCCTTGAGATATTTGTAGTGCAGTGGTTTAGGATCACAAACATAACTGAAAAGGAGCTACTTTGAGCCTCTTTCAGTCACCATCATCCCAGAAATATGGTGGGAAATGGCCTGTAAAAGTTCTCAGAGCCCTTGTTCTGTCCAGCTTTAGTCTTGGAATTAGCTGCCCATTAAGCATAAAAAAATAAGTGTTCTTCCTAGTAGGGAAACAAAGAGCAGCATGCAATGGTCATTGAAAGAAAAATCTTTCTGAATTAGGCTAGTAAAAGTGAAATAACTTGTCCATAATTATTTAGTCATGTATGAAACACTCTAGCAGTAGAAATAAGTTAGTGCTTCCAAATATTCTTCCCATTGCTTAATAACTGCTTAACAAATTAACTCAGCATTAATTATGCTGAACTACTGCTTAAAACTTGCTTAATGAAGAAGTGATCTTTTTTTTGCCTTTCCTGCAGACACATACATTTGTATTTAACAAAAGTGCAGGAAAAATTTATTCTTTTTCCCTCTGATGTGCTTTAAACAGCACAACCTTGAAGTAAACAGCTACACAAACACAAGACAGAGGAACTATTGCTGCCACATGCTTTGAGCCTGTTTAAACACATAAAGTTATATTAGCATATCAAGCAAGGATTGGCTTTATTGGTTTATGTCAGAAAGACTAAGTAAATCATACCTATAAGAAAATGGAAACACCTGTGGCATGGCAAGTGTGCTGCTTTTAGTGAAAATCCTTACTGCATTGATCAGGTAGTTGTCATGTTTTTCCTACCCACAGTTTAAAACAAATTCTTTTCAGGCATCAGTCTAGTTCTGGAGGATTTTGTCTTTATGAGGCTGAGGCTTCTGACTCATTAATAGGCTGTACTTACTTCATGCTTAAGGTCTAAAGATCATTAAGAAATGGAGAAAAGCAGGACTTTGGCCTTTTTGGGAATGGCAGTTTTAGCCGAGATTAAAAAAAAATATTCTATATTCAGGTAGCCAAATGAATAGCCTCCACTCGTTCATGTGATGGTTGTTAAATCTAGTC